ACAAGGCATGAAAGAATTCGTAACGGAGATCATCAGCGTCGGTCGGCTCCGTCACCGCAACATAGTGTCGCTCCTCGGTTACTGCCGCCGGAAAGGGGAGTTGCTCTTGGTTTACGACTACATGCCCAATGGGAGCCTCGACAAGTACCTCTATAACCAACCAAAGGCCATCCTCAATTGGAGGCAAAGATTTAGGGTGATCAAAGGAGTGTCATCCGGGCTGCTTTATCTGCATGAAGGGTGGGAGCAAGTGGTGATCCACAGGGATATAAAGGCGAGTAACATCTTGCTAGACGCTGATTTAAATGGAAGACTTGGGAGATTTTGGGCTTGCCAGGCTATACGACCATGGAACCGACCCGCAAACAACTCACGTCGCAGGAACGCTCGGTTATCTTGCCCCTGAGCACATGCGAACCGGCAAGGCCACTAGGAGCACCGATGTGTTTGCATTCGGAATATTTTTGCTCGAGGTCGCTTGCGGGAGAAGGCCAATAAAGACGGGGGACGTGGAGGACGCGATATTGGTGGACTGGGTATTTTCTTGCGGGAACAGAGGTGCCATTCTCGAGGCAAGAGATCCGAAGTTGGGGGCGGAGTTTGTGGAAGAAGAGATGGAGTTGGTGCTGAAACTCGGGTTGATGTGTTCCCATTCCGACCCGTTGATGAGGCCGAGCATGCGTCAAGTTTTGCATTACTTGGAGGGCGATATTCCGATGCCAGAGTTGTCGTCCATCGGCAGCAGGTTAACATTCGGTCATCACGAAGGTTTTGATGGTTTGGCCATGTCTCCGTCCTCCTTGGACAAGGCATTTCAACAATCGTCTTCTGTCGTAGAATCGCTTCTCTCGGGTGGGCGATGAGCCTCATGGTGTAGTTTCTAATCTTATTCCATGCTCTTTATCTGGTGAACATCGAGTCATTCTATTACTAGTCGGTGGAAGCATCGCTAAAATACACTCTCCAATTTTTTATATGGCTCAAATTGGCTGCCGGCGCGGCAGCCGCCCCCGGCTGCTGCTCTCGGGCGCCATTTCACTGATCGGTGCACTTTATTATTGATCTGTAGGCCTAACCACGCCGCATCACCCAAAAAAAAAAAAAGTTTTCTCTCTCCTCCTCTGGTTTTCCTTTACTCCCTCTCAGATTTTTGTTCATATTTTTGTTTTTGCTGCACTGCAACTATCTCGTTTCTCTCCCTTGTTACGAAACCGAGTCCCATCACAGTTCTCGTCGTCGCCATCTCTCGAAGCCGCGTCGGTCGCCGCCATCACTAAGCACCAAGATGGCAAGCTCTCTGTCCTTTTGTTCCACCGCGAAATCGTAGCCAAGGAGAGAGAAAGAGGAAGGATCTGGAAATGGTCAGGACGGGGTTATGGGGGCCATGGACGTGGCTATGGCGGTTGACGGAGGTGGTGCTGACCTCGAAGAAGAGAGAGAGAGAGAGAGAGAGAGAGAGAGAGAGAGAGAGAGAGAGAGAGAGTGGGGTGGTGGCCAGTCGCAGATCAAGAAGAGAGGGGAAGAGGTGGAAGACAAAAAGCGACCAAACAGAGAGACGAAGAGGAGAGGGAGAGACGCGAGTTCCTCTTGGCGAGTCATTGACGCGATGTACGGCGTGGCCCTCCGAATTTGACTGGCTCGAGGCAAAGTGAACATTAAACTTATACGATGCACTTCTCCCCCCCCCCCCCCCAATGCTGAATAGATTAATTGACAAGACAATGTCAAGCGGCAGAACCTTGCGCCTTTGCAAAATCAAAAACCAAACTCGTGGTGTAAGCTAGTAGGAATTAGAAGATGAACCAACATTCCTTCTTAGCGTCAAATAGAGAACAAGTTAAAAAAAAACGGTTGATACTAAAAAAATCCTAAACTGGTATGCTTGTGACAAATTTACCTCAAATTAACTTTTTTATCACGAAAAAATCCAAATTAGTACACCTATGATAAATTTATTCAAAAATAATTTTTTAAGCACAAAAAATCCAAAACCGACACACTTGTGATAAATTTTTCGTTCCGTTAAATTGAATTAATACCACGAAAAACCACAAACTGGTACATTTATGACAAATTTACCTTAAACTAATTTTTTGAGCACAAAAAACTCCAAACTGGTATACTTGTGACAAATTTATCGTCTGTTAAATTGAATTAATACCATGAAAAATCACAAACTGATACGGAGGGGTAAAACCCCAAATTAGTAAATCCCGTTAATTGCCACGTGTCATCTAACTAAGCAATTTAAAAGTAAAATTTAACCAAAACTAACTGAACGTAAATTTATCACGATTATATCAATGAAGGTATTTTTGTGGTCAAAAAAAATTTTTTTGGGTAAATTTGTCACAGGTATACCAGTTTAGAATTTTTTGTGGTTAAAAAATTAATTTAAGGTAAATTAATTATAAATATACCAGTTTGAGGTGTTTCGTGGTATTAACTCTTTCAATTATACTATGGTAGAGAGAGAGAGAGAGAGAGAGGAGTGTTGTTGGAGTTTGCAATGACTACCTTACGGCCGAGGAAATATTCAGTAGTTGCTAACCGCCACGTCAAGAGCTGACGTGGCGAGCATATTTTCCTTTCATCCAATTATAAGTGGACACGTGGCTATGACGTGGAATAAAAAAATGATGTGGAAATTGTTCTTTTCTTCTTCACCCAAAAAATAAAACAGGGGACTTCTCTTTCAACTGGCCTGAGATGAACTAGGCTCGGCCGTCTCCACCGCCCAAGCCGCAACCTCCATTCTCAAGCCACCGCGCAACCTCCAGTCACGGCTCGGGTTGATCAGATCCGGAGGAACTCGCATTTGAGGCACCGTCCGTCCATGGCCACGAGCGATGACGGTGAACGAACTCCAGATTTTGTTTTTGGTCGAAGGTGGAGGCTTGAGGGTGTGGTTGGCTATTCAAACTTCACTTTAGCAAAGTATGATGCGATAAACTACTACAGACCAAAGAACAAAAAAGTCCAGTAATTGGAGCTCTTAACACAGACTAGGAAAAAGAAATGAAAAGAAGTGTTGTAGATGAGAGGAACACCAACGGAGGAGGAAAAGAAGGTTTCAAAAAACCCAAAAGAACTCCAGATCTGAAGGAAGAAGAAGAATTCAAAAACTGCGAACGAACTCCAGATCTGGAGCAGTAGGTGGACGAACTTGCAGTACCATGTGGATGAACTTCAAATCTTCTAACCAAAAAAAAAAAAAACTTCAAATCTGGGGCCATGTCTCGAGCCACCGTCCATGGCCGCGAGCGTGATTTTTGTAAGAACTCCAGATCTGGAGCAGTAAGTGGACGAGCTCCAAAATCTGGAGCCATGGCGGCGAGCAACACGGCTTGTTCACAGATCTGGCGACAAGCAGCTGGCCATGGGCAAACAGAGGAAGATGAAGTGCTTGTCCATGGCTGACCTCCGCCCAACTTATGGACTAGCCGCCGTCCATGGCCACCCCTGCGCGCTTCAGATATATGATGAATCGCCATCCCGATTTGGAGGCACCATTGTGGACAAGCCGCCGTCGCCAGCGGATGCCGTCGTCGTCCGTGCTAACGACCACCGTCCATAGAAACCCAGAAATCTCGTCCCTCCTTTCTAAGTTTTTTCAAGACTGTCAATTTTTTACCAACAATTTCCACATCAATTTTTTATTCCACGTCATAGCCACGTGTCCACTTATGATTAGACGGAAAGAAAACATGCTCGCCACGTCAGCTCTTGACGTGGCGATTAGCAACCAGTGAATATTTCCTCCGACCGCATCGAACCCAAAGCAAAGGTTAGCAGAAAAATTTCATTTTCTGGTGGTTTGCACCTTATACGAGGCCCTCCAATTCCGCGACTGTGATGCCATCCACTGCATCCTCGCCCCAACCTCGAGCGATGGTTCCAACCCCCAAGTTCTTGATGTGCCTCCTCACCGGCGCCTCCTCCACCACGTTGGACGACACCTTCCTCTTCGTCCCCGACTCCATCACCTCCTTTGGCTCCACCGTGATCATCGAGGGCTTCGACTCAGACCCGCTCAATGCCTGGATCGGATCCGCCATGGCTGAGATCGCCTCGCTGCGTTATTGCCAGTCGTTGTGAGAGAGCAGCATATTTAGCCGGATTGGAAAGTCCATGCCCGGTTTGGTTCTCACCGGACCTGGCGGTAGTAATGGCCTCGGAGATGTGGTCCTCATCGATGGGGTCAACTTTGTCGTTGATCTCGAGGTAGAGGTCCAGGCGATCGGCGTATGGGTTGTCTTGGAGTCGCATGATGGGAGCGATTCGCGTGCGAATGCCTTGCCTCATGCCATCATGGCAGGTTGATGCCGGCGAAGGACTCGAGGACGCTCGAATTGTCGGAAGACCGGTTGCCGATGATGACGATGCTGGGGGGTTGGATTGCCTCCTCCAAGACCAAAAGGTGTGGAAGCTTGTCGAGCAGGGGCGGATCTGGGTGTTGTAGGGGAGAGGGAGAGGGAGAAAGAGAGCTCATGACACACAGAAGGGATTAATGGGGAATAGAGAGAAAGAGAGCGACGAAGAGCGAGAGTTTTGACAAAAGCGGACTTGGGAGATAGTGAGGAGAGAGAAAAGTCAAATAAAAAAAGAAAGATTGACACGTGGCACAACAGTGGACTTTAATGGTGTAAATAAGATGGAAATAGGATGGAAATGTAACGAATGGTCGATTTGGAAATCTATTGAAAGTTTGTGATTTTTTATATGATAAAAAAAAATTTTGGGTCAAATTTAAATCTAGACTTTAATTTTAGGGTTTTTTTAGGGAATTAGGTTCATTTTGTTCTCTCTCCTCTTTCTTTGACTTTGTGCAGGAAAGTTCTCAATATCCAAAACCAACAACGTCCCTGTCACCCAGTGCCACGTGAATACGGGCCAAAAATTTTCAACGTGTGGCCGCTGGGAACTTGGCAAAGCTCACCCACAGGATTTCTTCTCTCCCTCTCTCTCTCTATAAAACTCCTCTCCCTCCTCTCTCTTTCTCCGTCGTCAACGACAACACTCCAAAAACAGCACGCTCAGCTTCCACGTTCTTTTCGTCTCCTACTTACCAACCTCTGTCAACTTGCCCCTCTTGATCGTAGCCGTTCGACTCGGCACGGATCTATGGCTGCCTCGGTGCCAGCTGCCGCAGCTGTTTACACCGCATCGGTACTCTGTTTTTCCCGCCCATTCCTGTTTTTGTGCGTTGTTTCTGGCTCTGAGCTCATGAAAAGTGTCGAACCCGCTTCGTCCTTTCTTCTCTATTTCATCGTCTTTGCTTGATCATCGTGGTCATTCAGCTGTTTAAGCATACGAGCTAAAAGCACACTCTGTTTTCCTGAAAAGAGTTTGCTGTCTCTGTTCATCTTTAGGGAAGTTATGAGATCACGCGTAACTGGTTAAGCTTCCATAGCTAGTGAGTTCATACTGTGTTCACGGAATCTGCAATGTCTGTGTTAGAGTCTCCTGCTTTAGCGGGACTTCATGTTAACAATGGCCTGACCTTGTTCAGCTCAATTCGAGCCGGGCCATCGCGAGAAATTCGGGTCCTAGCTCTCTGTTCTTCGGGAGGAGCTTGAAGAAACAGAGCTCTAAGATCAACCACCCGAAAGTGTTGTTTAAGAGACTGAAGGCGGTCGTGGAGTACAATGAGGAGAAACAGACATCTAAGGACAGATGGAGAGGGCTTGTGACCGACACCTCCGATGACCAGCAAGACATAACCAGAGGAAAGGGGATGGTCGACGCTCTCTTTCAAGCGCCGATGGGGACTGGTACTCACTATGCCGTCATGAGCTCGTACGACTACATCATCGCCGGTCTTCGACAGTGAGTAACACACATGGCCACGTCTTTTAAATAAGTTTTGGAAGTGAAGGAAAATCAGTTGATTCGAGTACTGAACTCGTTGTGGTAGGTTTGCATTTGATAACACCATGGATGGCTTCTACTTTGCTCCTGCATTTATGGACAAAGTTGTGGTTCACATAACCAAGAACTTCTTGAATCTTCCAAACATCAAGGTTAGTTTAACATATCGAAATTATGCGACTTAATTTTGAAATTTGAATTTCAAGAGGAAAGAAATTTCATCGATGATTAACTCTATGGATGACAGGTTCCTCTCATTTTGGGTGTTTGGGGTGGCAAAGGCCAGGGAAAATCATTCCAATGCGAGCTCGTGTTCGCCAAAATGGGAATCAAGTAGGTTTCATCAATTTCTATTCCTTAAGATATTGAAAATCTTCAAATAAAGAGATACCTGAGCATTGATGACTATATGGAAATGGATTTTCAGCCCCATAATGATGAGCGCGGGAGAACTAGAAAGCGGGAACGCTGGTGAGCCTGCAAAGCTGATCAGACAGAGGTATCGGGAGGCGACCGACATCATCAGGAAAGGGAAGATGTGCTGCCTCTTTATCAACGATCTCGACACAGGAGCGGGAAGGCTCGGTGGGACCACACAGTACACGGTGAACAACCAGATGGTGAACGCGACCCTCGTGAACATTGCCGACAATCCCACCAACGTGCAACTTCCCGGCATGTACAACAAGGAGGAGAATCCCCGAGTTCCCATCACAGTCACCGAGAACGACTTCTCCATGCTGTACGCCCCTCTCATTCGCGATGGCCGGATGGAGAAGTTTTACTGGGCGCCCACACAGGAAGACAGGATCGGCGTTTGTACTGGGATTTTCAGGACCGACAATGTCCCAAAGGAAGATATAGTCAAGCTTGTCGACACATTCCCTGGTCAATCAATTGGTAAGCTTCTTCTTAATCTTAAATTGACATTCCTTAATCCTACTCTTTTTATCATTGTGCAACATAGCAAGCGAACTAACATTCCTAGCTGATTAACCTATTTGTGATGGCAATCTTTGTTATTGTTGGAAGAGAATTCATACTTTTGACAGTAGATATATGGAGAATGTAAATTAGGAAGATGGAACTAACATCAGTGTCTGCTGTGCGGATTTCTTTGGCGCACTCAGGGCAAGAGTGTATGACGATGAAGTGAGGAAATGGGTTGCCGAGATTGGAGTTGAAAACGTCGGAAAAAGGCATGTGAACTCCAAAGAGGGACCCCCGACCTTCGAGCAGCCGAGGATGACTCTGGACAAGCTACTCGAGTACGGGAACATGCTTGTCCAGGAGCAAGAGAATGTGAAGAGAGTGCAGTTGGCCGTTAAGTACTTGAAAGAGGCCGCTCTTGGGGATGCGAACGAGGATGCCATTAAGAATGGGAGTTTCTATGGTTAGATCCTTTCTATCCTAAAAGGACAGGGTCGAAGATTTGGCTCTGGACTGAGGATGACAGTACAAATGAAGATTTGGGAAGATCCATAACTTAAGCATTTCAATTGTTGTTGATTTCGATGCAGGCAAAGCACCGACCCATCTGCTACAATTTATGATCCAACTGCTCGAAGCGATGATGGAAGCTGCGTGTACCCCTTTTAGATCCCTTACAAGCCATTAAGGATAGTTAAATAGGGTTTTAAACCCCTTAAGTGTACTGTATACCTGTTAAGAGAGTTAAGAGTGCTTTAGACCAAATCTGTAGTAGCATTTTCTTTATTTTCCCTTTCTTTTGGCTAATCACATGGTAGTATGTCAAGATGTGGGCTGCTTGCTCAATTTCTTGCAACCTCTCACAAGTTGTCCTTCGTCATGACATATTGTTCGCTCAAAGTTGCCAATAAAATAGCCAACAACGTGCAATAGCTTGAAATGACCACCTTAAAATCTCTCCGCAGTCATTGAAATAGAGATCAGACAAATTTCAGCCAAGAAAGGAATGATTACTCGGCTTAAGGGGTTCGACTGCAGCTGGAAAATGGTTGGACCTTGATAGCACAATACCGCCGAACAAGAGATCAAAATGGTTTGTTACATGAACATGTAAATAATCGCAAAAGAATAGAAGTCTCAGATGGAAAAGACTAAACGAAGTTGTGTCATGTTCTTCAGATGTTTTTGTGCACCTTCCTCTCTTTCAGAAATCCATCTGTACCTGGTGGCTTCTCGAACTTCACTGATCCATGTGCTGGTAAATGATTCCACTACCCCTGGTAACTGTCTCGGCTTTAAAGTTTCCATTTTCCCCCGATCTTCATAATCCATTTTTGTTTTGGTTGACCGTATGTACTGTAGGTTTGCCATTCTCAACTTCTCTGCCTTCTTCATCGGCTTTATATTAACTGCCTTTCAGAATCTTAACATTCACAACTTCAGCTTTTCTACCACATACTGGATTTTATCGAAATTAGTGATCACTTGGCTGCTCGAGGTTCTTAGGGTGGCCATTTAGCAATGTTCCCTTTGGACATTTTAGGCGACAAAACAAACATATTATCGGCTGTCTCTTGGTCTTAGAACTGTTCTTAGATCTGCCACTCTTGCTACTTGACTATTTCAAATCAATCTTGCCCCGATTAATCATTTTCTTGGCTTGCTCATCTTCGCTTTTCACACAGCTGAGTCCATGGCAGCCTTTACTGCAACATCTTCCACTGAAATCATCACTACACTCTACACCATGTACCAGTTATCGAATAAACATTCATACGATATAAGCAGCGAACAGAACGGTGTGAGGGCTTGATCCTCATGATCTATCTCAATAATAGTAGTTGTTAGATAAAACTGATTCCAAAATGCACTCGGAAAATAGTATTATAGTGCTGCAACGTACAATTCATCCCAAAATGCTTTCAAATATATCAATCAGCATACTAACAGTCATACAACAATTCCAAACCTAGACTAAACTATCTATGAACTCATAGGCGACGTTTGCTTGTAGATACTCAGAGAGTGTCAATGGGAGGTTTAAGTTCTTGAACCAAATTGCTTAGACCAAAGGCCTATACATTATCAATTGGAGGTGAACACGGAAATTCTAGTGTTGGAATACAACAGTCTTTCAAAATAATTGGAGGAATGCAAAGAAACCCCATAAAGAAACATATACTTGCAAGTCCAAGGAGTGACCTCTCAACTGACTCATTAGCACCATAGAGTTTAAGTGCGTCCACCTGTTTTCTTACAGCAGAGGGCTCCAAATCTTTCTTCGACTTCAATGGGAAGATCAATGCATCATGCTGAGATTGTAGTGTGGCTATTGCTGCTTGATGATTTCTCTTATCTTGCTCCTTCTCCTTGAGTCAACACACTTCATCGTTGTTTCTACTTCGCTTGTAAATGTGGGGCATGGAAAATTGAGTTGGATTGACACCAAGCCTACAACCCACTATGCTTCTGTTACTGTCATTTCCAAATATCTGATTTACACTTCTTTCTATTGAAGTAGGCTAATACTGTTGCTACGTTCCCACTCTAACTCCATTGCTCTACTATGTAATTTGAGAAAACATTGAAGACCACACAAAGATAAATAAGAAACTAAGGGGAAAGATTATAATTCTGCAGGTACGTAACAGCAAGTATGTAATACATACTGTGCAAAGTATGTAACAGCAAAACCTAAGCGCAATAACAGCTGTTGCTCTAAAACAAACATTCAATTCAGAATCTGACAAAATGGGTGCAAACGCATAGAGAGTAAAGCCATCAACTAATGTGCAAAGGAAGACTTATAAAATGGACCGATCAGAAGATTACGAATTATAGATCAGTCTGCAGACGTTGAACAGATCTGCCAATCCGTCTTGGACTATCCTCGCATACTAACAGCAAACAACAAAAAATGCTGTTAGACTGGACTTCTAACAGCAAGCAGCAAAACCCCTCCAAATGGACAATCTATACCAAGTCCATATGTATCTCAATCAGCACACCTCTGAAAGTTAACCATGCTCACGTCCAGTAGAAGTTTCATTGGCATATGTTTCTCAAGGTTGTGTAGCTGTTGTTTGAGATGCAAACAATTTGTTCTCGACTTGGTCACGTAATACAAACAACCCAATGATCATACCGAGTGATATCCTAGCAAACACTAAACAACATTGAACAGATTCAATTTACGCGGTTCAGCCACCCAGATCAATTTCACTATTCAAGAATTAAATGGTTTCTCGCGTCTCTCAGCTTTCGGACAACCGACATGCATCACCACCCCAACACGATCCGAAAAAATTAGCAAGAGTGGGAAACTATCAACAAGATACCCACAGAATTGATAAACTAGCTCTTTCCTAATCCTTCTTTAATAAAGTAAGATCCCAGGAAGTCGCAAGTTGAGCTAAAAACTAGAACCAGCATGTTTACTCTCATCTTTCGTCTCAAAACATCAACTAATTTGGAGAATTACCAGCATTTGCATGAGGTAGAGACAAGTATCATTAGGATATTAGCGAAGACCAAGTGTGACATTGTTTCATTAGAATATTCCACCTCTTCACATTTTAGGGAAAATTACGTAAATAGTCCTAAGCCTATTGCAATTGTGCCAATTTAGTTCTAAACATTTTTTTTTAGCCAATTCAGTTCTAAACATTTTGTATTTGTACCAATTAATTCCATCCGGTCAATTTTGGCCGGACGTTGCCGACCCTCTAGCCGACGCTGACAAGGCAATTTTTTAATATATATATTTTTATTTTTATTCCTTTTCTTCTTCCCTTGGCCGATCTAGCGACCGGCCACTAGCGAGGGCGAGCCTCGATCTCGCCATGGTCGCTGCTCGACTGATCTCGCCCTCGCTAGTGCCGATGAGGGGGAGCCTCACCAGTGGCCGGCAACTAGTGTTGTTGGCCCTAGCCCCTGGCCGGTCGCTGGACCGGCCAAGGGAAGAAGAAAACGAAAAAAAAAAAAGAAAAAAAAATTTAAAAAATTGCCACGTCAGCGTCGGTTGGAGGGCTGATGCCAGCTGGCTTCCACGTCGGCGCTGGCCGGCCAAAATTTGCCGGATGGATTGAATTGGCATAAATACAAAAGGTTTATGACTGAATTAGCAAAAAAAAAGTTTAGGATTGAATTGGCATAATTGCAATAGGTTTAAGACCGTTTTGATCATTTTCCCCGCATTTTATACCAATAAAGAAATACAAATTGAAATGGAAAAGTAAAATTTTACATGTTATTTTTTCATTTGATGTATAAATATAATTTTTTAAGTATGATATATAGTCTCTTAAATTATTGAGAAAAGATATACTCTTCCATCTTGATAAATGAAGAAAGTAATAATAACCAAGGAAAAGTGACATTATCCCAAACTTGGATTGAATGATATAGAATAATACAACAAGATAGCCAATATCTTAAATTAAATTAAATTGTCAATTTACATTTCATAAACGTATATAATTTTGTTAGCTGAATTAATTTCATGCTTCAGATTAAAAAAATCATGAAGCTACCATTGAAATAAAATTTGATTATATTTCAAAAAGTATGCACTTTGTTGACTTAGGTACTTTTTTTATTTTGAAAATACTTGGCTATTCAGCGACCTTCCGACCGAAACAAGTGTACTTATCAAGCAACATTATCGCAATCAAATAATTTCGTATAAGGACAGTTGCAATTAAAAAATTTTAATTGAGATAAGTGTATTCCAAGTCCTAAAACTTATCACGAAAGTGCAATTGAGTCCTAAAACTTTCAAAAAGTGCAAATAAATCCTAAAACTTGTCATGAAAGTGTACTTGAGTCCTAAAACTTTAAAAAAGTGCAAACAAGTCCCAAAACTTATCAAATTGATTCAATCAAGTCATTCCATTAATTGTATTTTTTAAAGTTTTAGGACTTATTTGTACTTTTGTGACAAGTTTTAAGACTTATTTGCACTTTTTGAAAGTTTTAGGACTCAAGTGCACTTTCGTGATAAGTTTTAGGACTTGTTTGCACTTTTTGAAAGTTTTAGGACTCAAATGCACTTTTGTGACAAGTTTTAGGACTTCTAGTGCATATATCCCATTTTAATTTGTATTATCACCATGCACGAAAATCTATATTTGCAGAACAATTGGGCCGATCGGTGCACGAGGTTGCCAGCTAGTTGTGGAAGAAAATCCAAGTAAAAATAAGTCACACGTGGTGGGGAAT